ATAATAATAATAATAATAATAACAACAATGATAATAATGGCAATAATAACAATAATAATAATAACAACAACAACAACAACAACAACAACAACAACAACAACAACAAGAGTAGGCCTATGTTCACTATTTTATTATTGACCGAAAATTATTGAAAAGCTATACTCTACGTTTTTTGTGCAATTACGAATTTGATGGCAGTGGTAGTGGCAGTGGTGGAGGTGGCAGTGGTAGTTATGGTAATGGTGATGATGATGAATGACGATGAACATAATAATAATAATAACGTTCCGGCTGAAACATGCACCTGGTGAAAACTTGAACATTTTTGTTTTGTCTTGTTTTGGTTTAGGGTTTTTAATGCAACAAAATTTCCAACATACATGTACCCAAATCTCCGTTTAGCCTACTTTTATTTTGTTTTTCTTTTCCTACCATACACATATGAATCCGATGATGATGACGATGGAGGCGAGGGCAACGAAAAAGGCAGTGAAAGCATTAATTTTGTTGTATGCACGCCATCGGTAGCTGAACGGTGTCTGTGGTGTGATGACTAGGTACTTCGCTGTTGCAGATGAGTTAGGAGATCCAAAATCGATTTCCAAGTGGGAAGAATTTTTTTTCGAGTAGCCTATAGATCTACCAGTCTTTCTGCCCGAATGTTGTATCCCTCTCAGCCCAGATTGGCTCTGACGGGTAGGGTCGGAAGCCCGCCTCTTAAATGATCTAAATTATATCGATGGGGGCACCTACATTTTTAGTCGACAGCTGCAGATTGATACATTTGCAGTGTAACTCTCGTTCGAAGTCTTTTGCTGTCTTCCTACACACGTCATGTGCACGTCATGTGGCGCTGTGCCAGGGGAAGGCTTGACGTCTCAGCGGACAACTGTTGACCGGGCAATGGATGTAAACAAATAGACTGTTGGCAGTTGGTCTTTGCGTTTGTGTCGGACACTCTTAACTCGTGAAAATGTCTGTCAGAGTGCGTTGGAATCCCCAGCATGCACTGCAAGACTTACCAAGCGCTTACAGGACGCTATCCACCACAAAATGTCAACGGCATCAGCGACAATCCTTGGGTAAGCTCAGGGGAAAGTGGCAGCGCACTACCGTCAGCATGAGTCCTCTGATTTGGACAGCGAGGGCAATAACATGTAGGAACATAGCCATAGCGTGTGATGCTACCTGGCTCACCGGACGAAACAAGTCAAGAATGGGCTGTGCAGTTGTCCTCGAGATTATGACCGCTTTAGCCATAGACTACCATGTGATGTCCAAGTATTGTAAAGTAAATAGCCTACGTACAGGGTGAGAAAGACAATGATGATGAAATAACCTACGTACATTTACGAACTTTGCATTAGACGTGTATCGTATTTTTATAGGTTTGTTTGATTTTTAATGTTATCTTTCATTTTATTCTGTGATGTATTTATTTTGTGAACATGTACAGCAGGAATATTTTTTTAAAGGGAAAAGTTAAAAGTGGTTTTACACTGTACAGGTGTTCGTCTTGTACAGGTGATCTTCTGAGTAGATTCAATTGTACCTTAACCCAAAAGTCGCTGAGTATATGAAGATGTGAAGGCTGTCTACCAGCACAGCACGTCTTGACCTCCTCAACCAGAACAGCTCAGCTATTGCCTCCCTGGCAACACTCCGCACCTAAACTGTCAGAGAACGGTAGTACATGTATAAGAACGTATAGCTCCGAACGCAAATGACTCACTCTCTACGGCCTGGTTTGGGCCCGCTGGACCCGCGCTATCCCTAACCTAAGTTTGTAGGTCTCTAGAGGGTCCAGGATTTTTATCTTTATTTAATAACAGCAACAGTGTTTCCGTCATGTCATTGGTGCTGCCTCATGTGAGCGTATGAACATTAGCAGTAAAAATTGTGTTTAAATTGATTATATGATCGTTGTGCGTTTTTTTTTTTTTTCGCCAACGTCATGTCATTTAATATTACATGTATAATAACATCATGTTTATTACATGTAGCCTACCACTTTAGAAAGTGGACGGATAATACATGTAGATAAATTCCATGTAATCTATCTAGCCTACTTTTTAAAAAAAAAGATTATAATCTAAGACTTTAAAAAACTGAAAAACAAACTCTGCCCTTAAAAAAATATTCGTATAATGTAAACCCCG